AATAAAATACATTAAATACTTATTTTTTTAGGTTTTTAAATTTGAAAATGATTCATTAAATTAACTTCCAGACTAAGATTTAGTGATGTAGTGATCAAGTAAAGCATCAGTGCTTTTTTGCTATAGAAACATAAAAACTAATGTACTGCTGAAACACACAGTAAGCTAGTTGTAAGATAGTTAATGCCATAGCTAACTTTGCGCCAAAGATTGTCTTTTTTAATCCAATCTGTGGTGACCTCCTCCAAAATGTGGACTTGTAGCCTGTGTGAACAGAGGACTGATTCTGTCTGGATCCCTAACAAAGACTCTGTGGTGAGAGAAATGTTTAACTGCCAGCAAACATTCAAAAGGAATGCCTGTTTCATAAGGAAACCATAATAACCACTCAGTGACTGTGTTAAGAGTAAACTAGTAGCACATTTCTTCTGAGTTGTGTTAAGGTTCAATTAATCCTATGCTCGCTGACCCTAATGCTATGTGTGAAGAGGGTGGAATGAGAGGAAATAGCATAAGTAACTCCATGCTTTCTGCCACCTCACGTAATGATAATAGAAGGTGGGGGAAGCTACATTTCCAGTTGGTTTCAGCACACATGTTGTTGGCATTTTCCCTTCAAGCAGTATATGATGTTATTCTAATGTGCTCAGAGATATTTTAAAGCACATCATTTCTCTTGTTGATAACATTTTTCTCAGTTCATTCCAAGCTTATAGAAAGCAAGAGCTGTTTTGTTGTGCTATAGTTGTGCATTCACATATTTCATATTTAAACATTCAGTTATTTTTTCTTGGAATCCATTCAAATTTAACCGGATCTGCTTGAGCAGTAGCAGAAGAGTTATGTTAACCCCTCATAACCTCAACTCCATGTGGTAACGGTCAGCTACACTTAATGAGAGGTATTCTGTTGCATTGTGCCCAGAGAAACAAAAAACATGTGCATGGTTCTGGCTTTGCAACAGCTGACCAGGGGGAAAAATTAGACTAAATGTCTGGAGACAATGCATTTTCAGTTCTGGCCCAAATATAATGCCTCAACAGAGATTCAGCACTTTGTGTATCCCAGAAAGCAGGCTGCTACTTTGTAGGAGCTGGGACACTGATAATGACATTTGCTCTGTTTGTTAAATGATGCATGTGGCTTTCATTTAATGATATAAAAGTAAATAGGAAATCTGTTGCTCCCTCTTTTTGTTAATTCTTTCTTTCATTCTTGCCATTAGTTTGTAATTATGTAAGGTAGAGCGTGATCTTGTTAAGGAAAGTAGCCTGTTCTCCCTCTCTCTCTCCTGAGACAGGGCAGCTGTGCTATATCTATTTCTCTCTAATGGTTTGTGCATCTGTGTATGTGTTACAGTATTTGGACCAGCATGAGCCACTATCACCTTTAACTAGTCCCCACAGTGCAGCATGGCAGTAAATAAGCTTCCACGCCTTTTAGCTTCTCATTAAAGAGAACACATCCCCGTACGTAGCTTTTAATTAGAGCCTTAAAAGATCAGTGTACACACATATAGACGTGAGGAATAACATCCCTCGGAGTACTGAACAATTTACACAAGTTATTTTCAGCATTCTGTGGTACATTTAATTTATCTTCCTAACTTTTGACAGCATGTATCATCACATTGCGCCCCATCATTTTACAGACTTTTACAGTTCTGTGTTTCATTGTTGCAGATATTTAGGAATTTGGGTAACCTATTCCCTGGTTGCTGATGGTCGGGTAAAGATAAACTGCAGTCATGTTAGGGGTATTTTAAGGCATCATCAGGTTACAGAAGCACGATATCTGATCAAACATCCTCAGTTACTAAAGGCATACAGTCAGTGGGTGTATACTTACATGTTTGTGAATGTGTGTGCCAAAGTGCATGTGCTGTATATGCTCACTAATTTGCAAAAAAAAAAATGCAGTCATTTGATCATCAGTCATGACCTGTAGCCTCTGTAGTTAATCCTATACTATCTGAAGGATTTGATTTATTTAAGTGTTAAAATAAATACAGCAAAATTGAAATATGGCTCCCCAGAGACCAGCCACAATGATATGCGAAATGTAAAACAAGTGTCATATTGAAGAGATTCAAGCTTCACTCCTGAATGAAACACAAGAGCTATGACTCTATGGACTCCATAAAAGCCTTGAGTTTATTACTGTACATTGCACACTTCATAATTCCATAAACTGGGCTGCCATCATAAATCACAGACAAGCGCACACACAGAGTTTTTTTCCTAGTTACTACTCTGATGTGATGTACACACAGAGAAAAACACCAGATTGTGTTATGAGAACACATGGCGTGCCCTTCCGTATCTGTTACAGCCCAGCAACACCAACAAACTGTAATTGAGACTCATTTTATTGCCTTGACAAAAGATGCGATCACTGAACTCCTTACCCTGACAGCATGATATCAGCGATGACAAGACAATAGACATCTCTATGGATAATAAACAACAACTGTTCTGCCTCTTACCCAAGATAGACATATCAAATCTCCTGTAATAATGCTGGAAGAATGCTGTTTAAACAAACAAAAGGGTGTACACTTACAATCATTAATCCAGATCGATGTTTGTATAGAGTCCTGTGTATCTGAAAGAGTGTGTATGGGAGCAAGCACCTTGGTGTGCGTGAGAGAGCGAAAGACTGTGGATGAGTGTGCATTGAGTCCAGCCTTGTAGTAGTGTTGGGGGTTGGAGTAACAGCAGATGAGTTTAAGTGGGCAGTAATATCAGTCCTCGCTACATCACTCTACCATCTGCCAACTGATCATTAGCATTTCTATTTCTCTCTCTCTCTCTCTCTCTCTCCCTCTTTCTTTCAAACATAAACACAGTTGTGCTTGTGTGTCTGCATACACACACAGTTCCTTCCTTAGTTACTGGTCTGATGTGAAAGATCTTATTGCCGTGTGAAAGTGTTGATGTGTCTCACAGAATCACCTGGGAGAGTGGTGACGTCAGCCGCTCTCTGAGGAGCACGGGCTGGCAATGGGCATGCCCGCCTGCTGCCTGCCTCTGTGGGGAACCTGGGAGTATACAATATTTGGCAAAGAGTGAGAGCAAGATAGGGAGGGAGGCAGGTAGGCAGGTATATGGAGTAAATGAAAAGTGTGGGTGGGGAATCACAGATGTGAACGTCTCCCTACGGAGAAAGGATGTGCCTTGATACATTGTACGACAGAGATCCAGTCAGCGAATAAAGACTCATCTGTGACTCATTCATGGAGACTATGTGACTGACTGTGTGTTCCAGATGCCACAGACACATAAAAAGGCTAAAGTATGTATAGCCTATGGTTCCCAAATGACAAAGATTTACAACTCTCCAAAGTGCTGTACACAGTACAACAGCCAGCTTGGTAACCATTCAGATTATTCCAGCAGATCAGCAAATATTTCCTTTACAACAGTCCAACATATGACTTCATATGACCCGTTTTCTGCATGTCCTCATTCAGAAAACACACACAAACATATCAATGAGTATCGTTTTGGAGACACGTCATCACATCAAATTAATGCAGTTCACTGTCAGAGTCTATTAATAAGATGTCTGCTGAACTTAGACCACAATCCACTTAGCTTCAGCTTCCATAAAGACACACACAGAGAAATGGAACCGCATATAGTCTTGGCATTGCATGTGGATTTCATCAACACACGCTGTCACCATCATGCAGCAATGGAACAGCCATATATTCAGCACCTACGGAGCAAGCACTTTCAAAATTACACACGTCCCCACAAGGCTACGTCTGAAGCAGTTTTTCCCTTGATTCACAAATATACATCTATTTTCAGAAACATAAAGCAAAACATGGTTAGCTCACTCGGTAGAGCTGGAGACCCATATATGGAGTTGCTGCAGCGGCCCGGGTCGAATCTGACCTGCCCGGCCCTTTGCTGCGTGTCCATCCCTCTTCTCTCTACCTACCTTTTCCTGTCTATCTTCGGCTGTCCTATCTAATAAAGGCATGAAAAGGCCAAAAAAAAAACTAAAAAAAATAAAATAAAGCAAAACATGTTGACAACACCATAGGTGTGTTGCTACACACTTCATTTGTAGGCTTATAAAAGGGCAAATATTGCAAACTGGTTTATAATACTATGAGAAAAGATTTGACATCACCACAGCAGTAATTTTCTTCTTTATCTCAACAGCTGAAATGTAGTTCTAATTACTCTGCTCATGTTATGTTAACATACAGCATATCTTACCTGCGTTTTTTGCCTTCCACCCGTAGCTGTGCCAACATGGTGGTCTCATTGAAATGAATGAGGAAGCCACATTTCTTAATGCATTGCAAATGTTATTCTGAACACAGTTTTACTCCTCACACTACAGTGGTGTAGCTCACAGTACCAAGGTCATACCGAGCACAGCAGTGAGACACTTGACAGCATGTCAATATTGTCAACTCAGGACAGGTTTTAGCCAATCGATAGTAAAGACACCAAGCCACAAGCTTTCACTGAACAAAGACACAGATCAGATCAGATCTGTTTTCATCACTCAACAGCCAGTAATTTAAGTATGGTAATCTGAGACAAGAGATGCTTTCTTAACCATATATCTTTTCACATACATGTCTGACTTTCACTTATAAGTTTTGAAGTACCCATTTTAAATATGCAGTCAGCACTACTTACCTGGCAGTCAACCCAATGTTGAAGTCCCAACAAAAACAAATACACACAACCACATATACACACAATGCATTCGTGTGTGGCTGTTATTGATGTTGTCCAGGAAAGTGAGTATTTGGTTCTGAATTAGGCAATTAGAGAGACCACAGCAACCGACGTAGACTTGGCATACTGTGCTTGAGTAACTGTTTAAATTTGACATTTGACATTATTATTACTATTTTACCACAGAAATGTTTCCACTACATGATCAATAGCTCCATCTTGTCCCCACAATAAGAATTTTAAATGATGGATCAAATGGTGAACATCTGCAGTAATAATTCAGTACTTTCAGATAAAATATTCAATGAAGCCTGTGTGTGTGAAGAGGGAGTTGAAGCTGAAGTGGGTGTCTGTCCTGGTCCCTGTCCCAGGCTGTGCTCACCAGGGTCATAAAGTTATCCAGTGTCACCGCAGGACTATTGGATGGCTGTCAGCACGCTAAATTAAAAACCACAAGCACGCAGCGTTTAATTTCTATGTTTTTACCCCTAACGGAGTGGGACTGCCTGTCTCCGCGGTGCTGGGAAGTGTGTTTGTGTGTGTATGCACATGCATGCACGCGCATGTGTGTGTGTGTTGCTGGTTACCTTTACAAAGCCTCTCTGTACTAAGAGTTCTGCTGTCTCTCTTGCCTGTCTTCCTATATTCCTATACGGGGAGAGAGCCAGACAGACTGGCCCAATCTAATAGCATTACATAAAACAACATGGATGAATAATTTGTCTCTTATGAAAGTGATTATAGTAGAATAAAGTGCATGATGAATAGTTGAACTGAGGCATGACCCGTTCCATCAGCAAAATCTCATTTAAATCAAATTAGTCAAGACAATTTAGCCTGACCAAAAAGTTTTGAGCCTAATAAAATTCAAGGAACAGAACAGCCAAGAGACAGCAAGAAGTCTTAAGAGATAATTATGTGTCTGTACAGATTAGCATACTGTTGGTGAACTTGGTAAACAACAGTTAATCAAGGCTCCAGTGTGATTAGTGGCTTAACAACAGAAGAGCAGTAGACCAAGTTATACTGTTTACAAGCTTGAAATTAAACTTAATAGCCTAAATTGGACACTGTTGAGCAATCAAAGTTATAAGTACAGTTTTTCATTGAAGGTCAGCGAAGCTCGACTGAAGAACTAAAACTTTTGTATTCAGCAAATCTAATTGAATGAGTGCAGTGTTCTGAAGAAGTGAGGATGTAAACGTGAACTTTTAGGCAATCTGCTAACTATATTCATGGACCATAACAGACCTTTCACCAGTAATCACCTCTAAGAACCTGCGCTGTGGTTATGCAGAAGTACTACATTATGAAGTACCACATTTTATATAGCTATACAATATTGAGAATGAGGCAGTAAGTGGAAGTCAGAATGAATGAGATGAAAGCACGTACTGTGCTACTTTTTTGTTTACTTATTGTTTTTGGGCCTGTCAACATGTGTGTAAAATCTGGCCAATTCATTCTTTAATCATGGTTAAACCCCTATTTTGAGGTTACAATTACCTTTGAGTCAAAAGTGTCACCAGTTTAGTGTCTAACCAGCTTTGAAATATGCTCACAATCTCCCCTTCTGTTCAGAGTAATGGCGCCTACAAAATACTGCAAGATTAGAGACCATGCTTGCTTACCTCAACCCCCCTCTGCGGGCTCACTAGTGTTGGGCTACTCATTTAAAAAGTTGAATTTATTACTCATTACTCTTTTCTCCTTCTCCCCAAAATTCAGACTTACAATGATTAAAATCCAGTTTTGTTTGTTAAAATCAAAGTAATGTAATGTTTCCTGCTGAGTATAAATGTTTTTATTTTCCAAGCTAGTTTCCTCCACAATGAGTTCAAGGATGTGATTGGACTGTTGGATTTCAAATCAATAGGGTGGTGACAACAAAAGTAATATTGTAACTAATTGTTTTTTGGGATGGTAACTGTAATATTATTACTGAAATGTTTAGTAAATGGTATAAATTATATATATATAATATATATAATAATTAAAAAAAAATATGAATTAGTTAAATTACTAGTTACTGGGGAAAAGAATACTATTACTGTAATATTATTACTAGTAATGAATTTCTGCCTAACACTGTAGCTAACACATGAGTGTGAATATCTTTACTGAACCTTTGACTGCTATTTACATGTTCATAACAGGATCTTTCACGTGGCTGTATTTTAGGTATAGGTGTTAGAAATACAATAAACTGCTTTCTACAATGACATTTTAGGGTGGATTTTTCCTTGAAGTTGACCTACAGTAGCAAGGTGGGTGGCAATTAAATCAAACTTGATTTCAATGTTTTTCCCAACAGCTTGAGCCAGTAAGATATCTTGTGTGCACATTATAGACTATGACAGGCAGATTGTTATCTGACACAGTAAATCCCTGACGAATTTCTGTATAAAGTATGTCCTACAAGAATGTCTACACAGACTTTATCAGAGGCCTGGTCAGGCTTCAGCATATCAGATAGAAAGAGTGAAAGAATACTGAATGGGGTAATCCCAAATTCTGTTTAAATAGAAAACCAGTGCCAAAAAGACTGGGCTTCAAACAATAGACCACCACAATCTATGATCATTCTTCATATCATTATTTTAGTTGATCTGTTTGACTGTTATTGTGTATATCTATATCTACATATTCTGTTTCCATGTATGGTGCTTATCAGTAAATGTGGTTACATGCACACTTTTTCATTCTGATTGAAATCTTTTCAATTGAAGATTTCAGGTCAACTGTTTACATGAAATGTGATCTAATGGTGTTTACAAGCACTGACAAATTTAATTCAGAACAGCTTTGTGACATGCTCAAAAGTGATGAATACATCATGCATTCATTTTCCTCAAAGGCTACATTTCAGCACCATCCATAATTTTTTATGGACTTTTTTGAAAATGTAATTTCCTGATTTGATTTTGATTATAATCAGAATAGTAGGCTCAATGTAAAGGTAACTGGTATTTCTCAACCTTCCTCATCTATTTCTACTGTATT